ACTCACGGACCGCGAGATCGTGACCTGGCTGAAGTCGGACGCCAACCGACTGCGCCACCCAGGCGCCCCAAGGAAAAATCAACTTTAAAATGGCTCAGTTGGTTAAGTGTCCTGACCCTTGATTTCGGCTCTGGTCACGATCTTGTGCTTTGTGAGCTAGGACCCCATGTAGGGCTCTGCGCTGACCGCACGGAGCCTGCTTGGGATCTTCTTTCCCCTTCTGTCTCTCTGCCCCTCCCATGTGCGCTCTCTGTCTTTCAAAAATAAATAAACTTAAAAAAGAAAGAAAGATCTTTAAAAGAACTCTTAGTATGTTTTACAAGTTAAAAGATGAGTGTTCCTGTAGTTTTTCTGATTATAGGCTTATTATTATGATAATTACAGACTCGCACAGGCCTCCCTCGTTTTATTGCGCTTTGTAGATACTACGTTTACCAACCGAAGGTTTGCGGTGGCCTCTGCGTGTTTCTCCGTCACAGTTGGGTGATTCTGTAACACGTCCTACTTTGTCCTTAATCTGTTTCTCACGGAGATCTGTGATCAGTGATTACAGCTCACTGAGAGCTCATATGATGGTTACCAATTTTTAGCAAGACAGTATGTTTTGATTAAGTCAACGCACATACGCCGTCACCTGTTAGACGTGACGCTATCACATGCTCTGAGAGTGTCGTGTCGGCGTAACTTTTATGCACCGGGGGGGAAGCCAGGCAAATTCATTTGACTTGCTTTCTCGTGACACCTGCTCTGTCGTGGTCTGGACCGAGCCTGCAGTGTCTGTGAGGTGTGCTGGTATATATTTTGCATAATGTTAACGACGATACGTATAGAAGTTACGTAGAGACACGTATAGTAATTATAAGAGGCTTATTGGTCAAGCTCCGGGTGCCCAAAGCGTCAGTAACTGTGTGTCTCTCCCGCGAAGTGGGGTTCCACGGGTGCCCCATTCGGCCAGCATGTGAGCACTGTCAATTTCTGGGTCTGTTCTAGGGGTCCTTGCTGATGCAACCCTGGGTGTCCTTTCCTCTGTCCTCTGTCCTTGGCTGCCTAAGTGGGGAACGAGCCCAAGTCATCCAGCGCCCCCAGCCACAAGGGAGGACACTGCTGCACATGCTTTTCCTACACAGACGTGGTTTTGCATACCCAGGGCAAACCAGATTTTCTGGCTACCTAAATGGCCTTTTTCTGAGATCCAGCCCCCGCTCGCCCCCAGCCCCAGCCGCCAACACTTCCTTTCTGAGAGGTGAGGGGGGGTGAGCGTCACAACATGCACTCGTCAGAGGCTAATGCCCTCTCGCTCGCCCCCGAGATTTTGGACAGTGTAACTGGAAAATACCTCCAACGTCTGGGATGCGCTTACCCGACGTTCACCGCTTGTTCCGGAACAGACGGAGTCCTGCCAGACCCATCCACCTCCGGCGAGGAAATGGCGTTTTCCGAGATGGTTCACGTGCCATTTCGTGCAGCTCAGACACAAGGAGCACAGTTGTATCTATGATCTCTTAACGCACTTTGAATCCACTCTGTGGATTCCCCCTCAGAGCACAGGGGGCTGCTGGAGGCGGCTGGGTTATTGACGACCAAGGCGGGAGACACTCCGGGCGCTCTGTTGTGGCCGTTACAAGTGCATCAGGGGGCCTGCATTGGCCTCGCGGCCCCGAAGCAAGTCCCCGCAGGCTTAGCTTAACATGCCACTGACGTCCCACGTCCCCGTTCCGGAGGCCCGTCGGTCTGGAAGCTCTGGGGGGACCCGTTTCCTTGCTCACTGGGCTGTCGGCGTGATTCGGGTCCTTAGGGCCGGAGGGCCGAGAGCCTGTGTCCTTGCCGGAGGTCAGCTGGAGGCTGTTGGCAGCTTGGACGGGCCCCCTCATTCCCAAGCTCTTGGCTTCCTCCCTCCGTCGTGAAGGCCCCTCGCCGGCCTGCTCTCCTGCCTTCCTCTCCCGTCTCTAAGGGCTCACCTGATTCCCCGGGGCTCGCTGGGGTAGCCCTTACCCTAGTCTCTCCTGCGAAGCCCCCTTTTGCCATATCAGGCCACGTAGTCACAGGTCACGAGAATCTTCGCGAGGACATCTCTGGGGGGGGGGGCATTATTCTGCCGCC